CATGAGCATCGATCTGCGCAATTGGGAACCGATGACATGTGTCAACCAAGTCAGCATGCCTGACTACCCGATCCCGTTAGTCGCCTCTTACGACAAGCATGGATTACTGAAGATCAATTCTAACTCGGACCTTCACGGGTCTACAGAATAAAGAAGTTGTATATCCATGAAATTATCTTCATTCTTTTATTTTGTGTTTGGTTCATTTTTTTCTTCACTATCAAGCATAGTTGTTTTCTATCGGCAGAAAGTTTGGCCGGTGGGGTAGCTTAGTGGTTAAGCGTTCGCTACTCACGCCAAAGGCCCCGGTTCGAATCCCGATATGAGTGCAATGAATGAAGGTCATGTGTTCCCCTCGGTGATATTGCTGGCATGTTGCTAAAACAGCGAAGAACCACCCTCACTAACTCTTCCTACGAAGTTATTAAGAGGCATGGGTGTGTCGAGGCCAAACGACCTTGATCTTTCTCTTCCTGTATTGTATTGGCTGCCCCGGGATACACAATCAACATGTTGTCGTCATAAAGCATATCATTGTTAAATATTTCTTGAAGAGCAAGTATTCCCTCCTTTACCCATCTGCTCGAGTTTGAATCCAGTTTAGATCACTAGATTGTGTGGTCCAGTCTCGATTTTTTACAGACTGCCGCCATATTGTTGGAATATTCTTGGTGTGGCGTTAAAAATGCGGCAAACAAACGAATTTGTGTGATTTGGGTGAAGCTATTGGTTGTTTTGCCTATAGTTATGTATTTTCTCCAAGACAAAAGTCGAAGTCTGGTTTCTATTTCAAGCCAACTTTTCTGTGCAAATACTGGTAATGTGTCATTTTGGTTGACTGTCAGGGATGAAATCTCAAATCTTCATATCTGATCCACCAGGTTGTCTGCTGTTGTAGTCATCCCCGTGAAGCCATTCGAAATGGGAGCAACGATCTGATTGGATATTGCGTTTTGATCTCAAGGGACATAACTCTATTTAGCCGTGAGTGAGTATTGTTCTACTCCGCTTTTAACAATATTCCAGCAATATCCAGCGGGGGACCAGAAATGGGAGTCACACATTGTATCCATATGGGGAATCGAACCCATAAGGTTTGACATGGGAGAGGAAGAAACTTGGTTTTGATATAGGCTAGTGGGCACTCTTGCCCTCGAGCAATCTATCCCTCCCTGTTGAATTAAGCTTCTTCAGACATGATTTACCAGCTGCGTCAGCTGATAACATGTAAAATACCACACCGTTATGAATACTTCACGGACAGATTTGTAACGAAATGCTATTCTAAATATCATGTCAGTACCGTGTAGTATTTGTCGGTGTTGGGAACAATCACTTTTTGAAGGCTCCTTTTGCGGGTCAAATGATGATTTAATTATTCCATGGTTGGACCCTTTAAAGTCTCTTCTTTGAGTGGCATTTTAGTAGTAATATTAGGAATGAGAGTGTGAGAATTGTTTTACGCCGCTTTTTACAATATTCCAGCAATATCACCGCCGGGCACACAAGAAATGAGTTTCACTTATTGCACCCATATGGGAAGTAGAACCTGGGTCTTCAGCGTGCCGAGCGAACGCTTTAACCACTAGGCTACCCCATAGCTCCGAGTAGTTGGGAAGTACAATAATAACAATATATGGTTTTCTTTAGTGCGACGTTTATACAGGTTACTGAAGCTTTCTCATGCAGTAATGAAAGTCTCGTCTCACTGGTTTATGGTCTTAAAAATTTGAATCAGTGAATCGTAAATTCTATCTCTTTTCTCTTTTCAAGTACTGAGAAAGCACTTAAAACACGGTATGTCAATCGGCTTTTAGTTCTTACCGACCGGTTGAAAGTAGGGCTGCGCAATATAACCGGTTTACCGATATTTACCGGTTCAGACATGAAAACGATACGCATTTGGATACGCTGATCGAAAACCGGTATTTTGACCTGCATTCGGAAAACTTCGTAACACTCGGAAATCTTCGGATATTGCCTAGTTTCATTTTTGCCAAATACTATTTACAATTTTATTTTGTCATTAAAGTTTTTATTAAAGCTTAATTAAGCATAGTGATTTTGTTGTGTTCATGCTTTATAAATCAAGCATTAACTCGATTATAAGTATTTTTTTGTTTAAAAATACTTCTTGCAATATATTGCAATACATATCGCAATATATGCTTTCGCATCGCGATATATCGCAATATGAAAATTCTCTGCAATACCCACCCCTAGTTGAAAGCTAGTCTCATACTAAAAACTTAGTTGTCGATATCTAAAAACTTGCAAAACCACTTACCCATAACTTAAAACATCCAAAGGCATTTTAAAACTCACGGCTAAGGTGACCCTGTCCTTGTTGTAGAATCAAAGCCCACTTTCCCTAAGTGTTTTACTGTAAGAAATCCCCAGCCAATTATTTTCCTGCACAGCCGTTGAAGATGCCGTTAGATCTTGAACGCTCTGTATACTGTTTCGAGTCAGATGATGGATGGCTAGCTGGTGGTTGTGAGAGAGGCATTTGTTACAGGTCTCTCGAGTTAAAATATGTGTCTATGATCATGCTTGTTATGGTGAATACACAATGCCAGAAAGTGGTCAAATATAACATACATGCATGTTATATTTGGGATTACACTTTCTCAGTAAAGTACAGATTCTAGTACTTTTGATGGGTTGGCCGAACTTCTGTGCCGGCGATCAGGTGCCCCGGATGGGACTCAGCCTAACAAAAGAACTGTACTTTACTAAAAAAGTCTAATCCCAAATATACTCATTACTCAATTAAAAATACATATGTAATAATAATAATAATAATAATAATAATAATGATTGATTTATAGAGCGCCTATTTCCAAAAGATATTGCTCAATGGCGCTATAAAGAGAAAAGATGACTTAATGACTTAATGCTTCCATTCACCACATTAAAGCGTCCACAACTGGCGCTGACATGGACAAAACACGTCGGGAGTAAACCAAGGCGTAAATATGTATTATTATGCTAATATTTGTTTAGTGTCAATATCCAGCTCAGCTGCTCAAAGGCGCTTTATTTTTCCCTCCATAATTGGATGTCAATGTTAAACGACACATCGTATTATCAATCTCAACTCCCTGGGGATCATAGTTTATGTGGTGTTCCCATCCATTCCGAGGTACCCATTCTGGGTGGACTGAGACACATAGTCACAGTACTTTGTCCAAAGTCACTGCACGTTGCTGTACCCGCAACTAGGTGGTTGCACGTATTCATGTGGCCACCATCTGGTCATATACCGACGGAATTGTGGGTTCTTTTAAGTGCACAGGGTTGTGTACTGTACACTAGGGGTTGTGACAGCACTGAAAGAGTCTGCACACAAAGTTGACTCCAAGGTTTTACACCCGGTCACATGTACAGGTAGGCTCGGTCCCGGCACCTCAAGTTCGCTGTATCACTAGCTTGGCGCCTTAGACACCTCTCCCACCACGTCCCTACGTTTCCTGACAGGTCTACAGTACACTACGTATGGGCAGCAGCTGTGACATGGTCCTCAGTGTTCCATTGGGCTGCTCTAACCGTCTATGAGATTCCAGTGGTCAGACTACAGTGAAGCCCCGTTAGTCCGGACTCCGATAATCCGGATGTCTCGGGTCCCGGACGATTTTAGCTTGTTACCAATCTATGCCTATTTAATTTGCCTCGATAATCCGGAAGACATTTTGCTATGACATTAAATGCTTATTTGTTTTATCCAGATTCGTTTCGTTTTGAACTTGGTTCTTGATTCAGTAGTCCGGACGAATTTGCTGAGAAACGCAACCGTCCGGATTAACGAGGCTTCACTGTACATGACCCGTGAGTTGTTGAAAACTTGTTTAGTTAAGTTTTTGTATGGTTCTGTTTCCATAAAAAAAAATTATAACACACAATTAAACACCTCGCTGAATGCGATGTTAAACAATATTCACCCACCAGGTCATTATCGATCCGTATCGGTTCTGGTGTGTTACATACAATATCGACCTGTAATCAATTATTCCCCTGAAATGCAATGGTACTAAAATACCCGATAATGTAATTCTTGTATTGGGATTAAACACCGCTTTGGGAGAGCGCACGGTGGCTAACTGTAAGGAACTATTGCATCTCGGGATTAAATGACAAACAGAAAATGAGGTAAATATCGATGTATTTACATAGAAGTGGAATGTAATATTACAAGGCTCATAATCACAATGGCAGAGCTCCGTTCACAACAGACTAAACATCATACGCATGAATATAAACATTATCCACTATCACAGATTCTTCCATGTAAATAAAAACAAATGTCTTCAATACAAAGACCTTGGCACACTGAAGTTGCATAACAATTAACACTGCTATATTAGGTTTATGTAAAATATGCAATATTCTCATACATTTTCAAACCATCTGCAAAATCACAGGTGTTAGAACATTATAATCATAATAGCACATGGGTTATTAAGTCAGTACTGCATTTTATATGCATAAACCAGAAATAGAAAAACGGTCAATAATTTTTGTAAATCACTATAGTACATTTCTTATTGAATTAATATTTAAATGCACAAACATAACATATTTTTGTAAATTTATATTTGTTATATTTAAAGAGGCTAAAATAGACCAAACATAAGTTATCTTTAGACATTTCATTTCTAATCGTATTCAAACTGGTCCGATTTAAATAATAAGGCAGTGTTTAAACATGTTATCAATTTCGAAACGTCACTCTAACTTTTGAGGAGAATGATTCACCAAAATATATAAGAAGTCATAAAAGGCATTTAAACAATATCTTCACCAGAGTCTGGCATTATTAAAAAGATAGTGCCCTGTGTCGCCTGCCAACATATTTCAATAAGTATCAACTTCAGTTCATAGCAGTCTTTGCTTCACTATGGGTCAGCAAAAGCAGTAACATCGATACTGTATATATATATACTCAAAATATATTCATTTAAAGTTCACACAAAAATTAATGTTCTTCACAGAGAAGTTCTTCAAAAACAAATGCTCAAAAGTCTAGATAAATCCCAGCAGCCCAAGGGGAAGGATGAACAGTGGAAGGACCAGGGGCAGATAATCCTCGTACACTGGTGTGTCCTCACAGTGCTTGTTGTACACATCAAGCTGCTTCTGGCACAGAACGTGGTACGCCGCCAAGTGGGAAGCGTCCAGGTCCGAAATAGATGGGCTCTCGTCCCTTCAGCAGCAAGAGGAACGACATCTTCCTCATTAGGAGCAGCATCAATCCAACAATCCACAGAAGCAGCTGGATCATCTTCGGCAGTTTCAAAAAGGATTTTGGACGAAGCATCAAGACTATGGCTTGGAGATGTTTGAAGTTCACTAGATGCACTGTCAGGAGTCTCTGTGGCAGAGGAAGCCGTTGGTGAGTCGGCAGCAGAGATCAGTTCCAGGGATGCAGACGGCGTGTGGAAGTGGGAAGCTGTCCACGATGATGTAATTGAAGATGTGCAGAATGATATTGTACGTGCAGCTGGTGTGTAGAAGCATGGCGATTTATTTGGTGAATGGAAGGCAGTGGAGATTTCAGTTGTGTGACCAGTTGAGGTAGCATCCATACTTGGACTTCCATCTTGTGCAGGCTCTGAAGGATTAGCAGCACCATTGTTTATCAGATTTGAACTTCCATCTTGTGTAGGCTTTGAAGTCGCAGCCGAGATGAGTTTGGTCTCAGTAGAGAATACAATGCCTGTGTCCATATTCCTGGCGTCTGTGGCATGTCCGTAGGAGGATACAAAGTCATGTCTGCACAACGTGTGATTCTTGGAAATGGACACGCTGTCCTTAGTTTCAGCCCAATTTACAAAACCTAATGAAGTATCTGTCTCTTTTACACTCAGCATCATGGCTGGGTCCTTGTTATTTGATGGTGAAACTTCACCGCTCCTGGTGCTTCTCAGGTTGTCCCTGCGAGATTCAGTATCACTTGACACAGCACCATTGACTTCAGGGGAGCTTGGACTCGATGTGTCTACGTTGATAGGTGTATTAACACCTACATGTCCGGTAGATTCTTCCTCTGATTCTTCATCACTGGACTCAAGGTATCTATGTGACGGCACTGTTAGTGTTAGGGTCGGAAACAGAACCTCCTTTGTGTACTCGTCCTGCAGCCGCTGGACTACTGTGGAGAGGGTGGGGCGGTCAGCTGGATTCTCAGCCATACACATGTCAGAGACGGACAACAAGGCTGAGATGTGGGAGACTCCATGTATCTTCTTCAGGACTCGTCCTAAACTGAATACATCACATGCTGGGGTTGTCTCAGCATGGGCACACGCCTCTGGAGCTAGATGCACGCACCCCTCCATGGCCCCTTTGTAATGCACTCCTGATTTGTATGAGGCTGTTCCCATGTCACAGAACTTGACCACGGGCAGTGTTCCAGACATGTCCACTAGAATGTTGTCTGACTTGATGTCATTGATGAGAACGTCTTTCTTGTGGATCTTGTTCACTCCACTGGAAAGCTGGCACACAATATTCAGCCAGATTAATCTGGGCATGTCTGACTCGCACATGATATCATAGAGGGTTTGGCCGGAACCAACATACTCCATCACAATGCCGTAGCCGTCCTCCTCGTTCTTCAATAGCCCGTAACAGATGGGGACGCAGCCTGTGGACTCGAGGTACATGGTGATCTTTGCCTCATTAACGATGGAGTCCAGTGTTGCCTTGTCCGAAAAGGGTTCCTTAATCACCACATCCCTGCTGAGGTAAGGGGACACCGTCAGGGTAGCAGCATATACAACGCCGAAGGACCCAGATCCGATTACAATTTCCGAGAGTCCATCTTGCTCGACTTGGAAGTGGATCATGTTTGATGGAAGGGTTGGGACCATGATGTGCCAAAATTGTGAAGAGACGTGGAATGAGGGGCCACACGCCCTCTTGAAGACATACTCTGATGGAAACGGCTCATTGCTGGCTAGCTTGATCTCATCATCTTGAAGAGTGGACGGACAACTGATGGCGTGAGAAGCTTGTCCGAGAGAGTCATGTGAGGGAGATAAGATGCTCAAGCTAGGAATGTCCAGGACGTCATCATCATGGCTGAAGTCCTCGTGCAGGTAGGAATGTGGAGATTCAGACCTGAAATAGTAAGAGAACGTATCATTCTCAATTAATCACTGCCATTATATTTAAACATTATGGTAATATATAATTCATCTTTTCACTTTTTATCAACTAATCTTATGTACCTTTCATCTAAACTGTTGTCTGTGAAGTAAAGGTCTCCCGTGAAGTCGTCATCTTTGAGTGGGTTATCCTCGATCACTGTGCACTTTCCACTTCTGAAATTGAGATAGATAAAGAAGAGAATAAATTTGGGCACAATCAGTACACATTATAATATATTTACGCTGCATCAAATATTATTACACATATTTGAATTATGTCAAGTTGAATTATATCAGTGGTCAAGTTATATTTGCATAATATTTCCTACCTCATATTGTTTGGTTCTCTGTACCATAGGTCTCTCTCCACCTGGACTGGACTGAACTCTTCACTGTCTATCGAACGTCCCGTGTGGACCTGTGCAGTTCCTTCTGATGATCCACACTGATCCACGTGATGTTCCTGGTTCTGGATAGCTTGTCCAGGACTAGACAAGGAGCTCTTTATTAGGTTTGATAAGACACACAATCCACTGCTGTATCCCCCGCTTAGAAATGGTGTGCATATCAGCTGGAGCACGCTCTTCTTCATAGAGTCAGGAATATCACAGAGGGAACTGAAATGTGAGATGTCTTGGAACAACTCTTTGAAAGTAGTTTCTTCACCCTGAACATCATTCTGGAACACAGTATTCGATTGGCTTGCCTCATGTTGCGGCGTACAATCCTTGTGTATAGCTGAAGACTTCAGACTCAACTCAGGATCACTTTTGATTGGACTTAATGTTCTTTCATCTGTTCTTTGTGTTAGCTTTGAGTCCCTCCTGTGGCACTGCTGCAGTGTGGGATCTGTGAGATGACCTGTGTCCTCAGCTTGTTCAGGTTCTAGACACGTTTTGTCATAATCAGTATATGCTCCTTCTGCACCAGTTGGCTTCCTGTTGCGTGATCTATGGCCATCAGAGTGGCGTTTGTTCAGGTAACTGTGCCTTGGTTTATTCCTGGAGGCATCCGAACCTCTTGAGAATGCCTGGTCAGACTTGGACCCCAAAACAGAAGAGTTCGCAGGTTCCACATCACAGTCGCCTTCTTCTCTGGTGTAACCGTTGTTGTTTGTGTTAAGGCAAGCTGTGTAGTTTAACTGGGCTGTTTTCGTATTATTTGGAGGCTTTTCGCAAGACTTGTCTTTGTCTTCAGGCATCGAATTTGTCCCTTCGATGACAGATCCAAACTGGACTTTGTTGAATAAGCACCTCTCCTGCTGGCGTCTGCTGTAAATGTCGTCTGAAATCCTCGCTGCACCCATCTTCCTCAGTTCCTCCCAGTATAGGTCCTCCATGACCTGGATGTGCGATCGCCCTGTCTGTTGAGCTGGTGCCCTGCTGGGACTTGCCCTGAAATACTTCATGTGTTGACTTGCCAGATGCTTCAGGCTGGCCGAGACCATGTCGGGGTAGGTGTCCTCAAGCCAGTACCAGGGTGTGAGCGGACTCCGGGCCAGGCAGCTGCCAGGGGAGACAGTCTTCAGGGTCGGGATGGTGTTGAGGATACGCCGCCGGGTGTCCTTTGGAAATTAAGAATAGAATACAGGTATGTCGACTGTTGTTTGGCAATGCACTGATCTGTATGCTGGCGATGTGTTAATAATCCAGTTTGGGCTAGATGATCAAGTGATTGACATCATGAGGATCGATCCACACATTTGGGATACGACTACGTATAATGAAACACATCACAATGTCTGACCACTCGACCAGTTTAGTCGCCTCTTACAACATGCATAAGTGGTAAAAGCATGTCCTAGATTACAACCTAGAACGCCCAAAGATGTGTGAAATCGAGAGAAGTGCTCTTAACCCACAATATACATCATCACATCCCTGTGACCCAAAACAATATGCATATTTTAAATAATCAATGTGTAGATAATGTTTTTCGACCCACATATCCACGTTAAACTTTAATATTTATTTCAAACAATATGATAAATACATGAACGTCGTATTTAGCTCCTTTTAAAGTTACTGATTTTCGTACACACCAAAGCACTAAAACTCGTTAATGAACACTCACCATTTCGTCCTCTTTGAAGGTGATGTATTTGGTCGTCCGGGACGTGTACTTCAGCGGAAGTCCGTCCAGTTTGTCTCTGAGCAGGCGACATTTTTCAGCCCGACTCCACTGGGGTCGAACTGGCGGTCGTGGCTTTGAGGTATGGACTTTGGTTGGTACCGCCTGAGGATATGGTAGAAGAACGCGTGCCTTGGATGATCCACTTTCATTATTAATGATATTTCGATTTGGTCCAGTCCCCTTTCGAGTTGAGTTTAATAGATTTGTTGGCCTTGGTGGCGCTGGCTCCAGGGGTTTTGCATGTCAGGCAAGAATATCACTGCCGTGGCTTGGATCCCATCGTAAAATGCGACGAATGGGAGCCTAGTCAGATAGAGTTGGTTGGAGGGAAGGGTCGCCAGAGATTGAAGGTCATCTGGATCCAATGTGGCTAACATCGCTTGGTTGTAGGTGGTAGAGAGACTAAGCTCACGCTTGAGTAGAGCCAAGTTTAAGAGGCTTGAGAGTTGGTCGTCCAGGAAATCTTTGTAATCAAGCACGAGTGTGCGTGCCATGGACAGAAATTCGTCATCTATATTTCCGAATCCGACCAGTGGTACATGTGTTAATGGCTGATATTTCAGGCGTTGTGCACTACGTGGCATGACTGCGCTTGTCGTAGCTACGCTCACTTCGTAGAATGCGACACATGGATTTCTCTTGTTCACAATTCCTACCTTGCTTCGTGGGCTTGATGTCAGTTCATGAATCTGCTCTACAGCTCCTGGTAGAAATATCTGTGCCGTGACTCCATCGTAAAGTGCAACAAATGGTCCTTCCAGTTTCTCAAGTTCCGTCTTTTTCCGTCTGTTTTGAAAGCTATTCAGATAATCTTCATCACCAGGCAAGAATATTACTACCGTGTCTGCAATACCATCGACAAAGGGTGGTTCTTCTTTCTTGAGTCCAGTTAGACACAGTGGGCTGGAAGGAAGGGTGGCCACAGCTTTAACTTCCTCTGGAACCAATGAGGCCAACATCGCTTGGTTGTAGGAGGTAAAGAGACTCAGCTCACGCTTGAGTAGAGCTAGGTTTAGTAGGCTTGAGAGTTGGTCCTCCAGGAATTCTTTGTAATCAAGCACCAGTGTACGTGCCATGGACAGGAAGTCTTCGTTACATGTGATTTCTGGATCCTGAAAACTCTTGAATTCGACCAGTTGCACATGTCTCAATGGCTGATGCTTCAGATGCTGTCCATTGTATGGCAAGATTGCCTGTGTCGTAGCTACGCTCCCGTCGTAAAATGCGACATTGGGTCTTGAGATTTCCACCAGTTCTTCCATGTTCCAAACACAGGAAATCTCCATGTCTACAGCTCCTGGTAAGAATATTGCCGCCGTGGATGTATTACCATCGTAAAATGCGACAAAGGGACTTTCCTGAGCCTTACTCCAAGATTGGAGTGAAGGCGATGTGTTGACTTCAACAATTTCAATCTTCATCATGCGATGATGAGAGAACGTCTTATTGGCAGAAAGACCGCATCAACAATGGCGTGACGTCACAAACGTAACCAAGTGGACTTTGTCCCGTTTCAATCACGTCACACGAGATTGCATTTACTGACTTTGAAAACGTTGAACATAAATAATGAGATAATATCTACAAATACTGAAAACACGGATATATATTTTGACGAGTCTACAGAGCACACTTTACAATAATGTTGTACTTAATGTTGAGAAGTTTCTCAGAGTGAAGACTTTAATACGTCATAAAGATATGACGTCACAGAACAGTGACGCCATGATATCGGAAAGCTCACATCGCCGTAAGCTGGGCCCCGTCTCGCATATCGCAATGTACATCAACTGGTTCCCGGCTCCCTGTGCGCGCTTATACTGCGACAGGAGAGACCAAGCTTATGGTCACCAGTTTGTTAAACTGGATCAACTGTTTGATCGCGCAGCAGGATTCGCCATTTTGGTGCAGAATTAAACAGTAGCCCAGTCTGGCGGACATTTTACGTACTGAGCGTTTTTACCAGGGTCATTTAGCTACATTACCGTTCTCACTTTCAAAACCAAACACGCATTTTCAATGATTCAGTTCTTTATTTGCATAAAAGGCGTCAGGTACTTATAGTAAAGAGTTACTTAGTACCATTAACATACATTATTATAGTTCATTTCTTAAGATAAATACATAATGAATACATTGGGCTAGTTGCAATGAAGGTTCCTCCTTGCACAGCCAGATACAGTTGTTGTTTTCTATATCCCAAAGGTATGGGTTTTGTTTCTATAAGAAAGTGTGCTATGGCAGCGGGTGTGTTGTCAAAAAGGCATGACAAGGAATTATAAATAATATTTCAAGACCAATTGATATTAACTGTGTATTAATTATCTAACACTATTGCACTGACAAATATCTATCTTTAAAAGTGAATTTGTTTTGCGGTTTTTATATTTTTCATAAATTTCAAATGCCTCAGTGTATTTCCCTGTTAGATGAGTATTGTGTCTTGTCCGACTTTTGAATGAGGAAGAAACTTTTTGCACTGTTTAAATAAATATTTTTTTAAATAATAGACTAAACTAAAGACAAAACCACTGAGACGAATGTGACCGAAAGGAAATATAGGT